TATTCGATCCTATGACGAGTGGAAAGTTGATTCTAGTTGACGAGCAGAACGAAGTCGAACGACGGCGAGCAGCCCCCGAACTGAAAGGACGGTCTCAGGCAGCCTCCCGACAGCAGCTATCCCAGGATCAACCAGTCTCTTGGATCGACTTCACGTCCCTGGACCAGGCTGGTGGTGGTGGTGGCGAGGTGGTGCCTCCCAACCCTTCCTCATCCTCCTCTCTCCACGCCTGTGCTTCTGATGCCCATACATTTCAGTAGTGCCCTACCTGTTTCTCCGCGTTGTTCCTGTCCTCCCGTCCTCTGCCATCTTCACCTTAGTGACGGATGGCGACCAAAGGGTCTCCGTGTGGGAAGGAATCCATCAGTGATTTCGAACCGTCCTTTACGTGCTAAGCCTGGAAGAAATTCCGACGAGTGTGGAAGTTGAGCACTTATCGTGAACAGATTTAGCAATTTGTGTTTCACCGAGGAGGGTTTGAGCATAGTCTCAAGAACGTCAGGTCAGAGGACGTTGACAGTTACATTTCGGAACCCATTGTGGCTCAAGGCAAAACGTTTGTCATCGCTTCGATGCCACAAGGATGTGGGCCTGGCAACTGGCGTTGGCACCGCTGCTGCCCCCCCCTGGCATCGTTCGGGCGTGTTCGTTTTTTTCTCGGCGAAGGCCATCGAAGAGCATATTGGATCATTCTAAGAAACAGAAGCACACACGAAATCAACAATTGCACGGATAATGGACGTCCGAGCGATGGCGCGTCCCCAGACATGCGTTTCTGTTAAGGCGGGGTCCCCTGATGTCCCGACATTTTCCCCAGGACCAGCCTTTCACCCCAAGTCGTTGGTTTTGATGGTCCCGGGGGGCCCAGTGAGGGTCCCAGGGGCGCCGAACACCGCTACAAACCTCCCGCCCTGGCTTCTGTTCGTGATGTCGACTAGACGTAAGAGTGACCTTTCGCCAGAGTGACCTTTGGTGCGGGCCACAATGGGGCCCCCCGATCGCCGAACGCGAGGCGGCCGTGGCATCTTGCGCCCTTGTGCTTGGCCCCCCCCCCGGCCCCCCAAGAGCCGCGCACCGAAGGTCACTCTTGCCCAGGGTCACTCCTGCGTGTGGCCCATCGTGGCCCGAAGAGCGTCTGGGACTCCAGGTGTCAGGAGGGAAAACAACACACAGACACAATGAATCGTCGATTCCCCAGAAAATTAGCTAAAATATGGGGATTGGGGGGGAAGACGAACCCCCAGAAACTATGGAAAATATGGGGAATATTTTTACGTGTGTGTATTCCTTTGTGTGCCCTGGGGCCCCTTCCACTCCTGCGCGTGGCCCATCGTGGCCCGAAGGGCGTTTGGGACTCCAGGTGGCCGGCCGCCTGGTCCGGGATGGTGAGGCCCAGTTGGGCGACCTGCGCCCCTTTGTGGGCTTCTCGGGCTGGGCCGCCCTGCAGCTGGAGCTGGAGCTGCAGCGCGGCGTGTGGGTGCGGGCGAGGGCGCCCGACCGGCCCCAGCCGTGGCGCCGCCTCCTCGGGGCCCGGAGGCTGCTGGCCTTGCCGAGGGCCCCGGGCCCTGACCCAGGCACCGTCGGTAGGAGGCCGCGCGCGAACCCCATGCCCCGGTGCCCCAGTTCGCACGTGGCCTCCGGATCGAGGATAGAACAGCCTCTAGCACTGATCGCATTGGTGAAGAGGCACGTGCCTCAGGAGGCCTGAAGATGCCCTCCCGGCGGTGGATAGGGGCGTCGAAATAAAAATCAGTTTCCACTCGGGTTCTGAAGACCTAGTTTGGTTAGGGACCGGTCTCGTCTTGCGTTAGGGACAAAAAATCTGCGATTGGGACAATAAATCTGGGCGGTTTTGCGTCCCACTGAGGTCCCGTTTTTGCGTCAGGGTATCTCTGGGCGGTTTGGTTTGATGCACCTGCAGAAAGACCCCCTATCCATAAGGTTTTTGGCCCTCCAAACTTAGGTCGCCTCTCAAAGGCTTAGGGGTTCTCTTATTGCTAATCAAAACATGTTCGCGTTTTTTTGAAAAGATCAGGACGCGAGATTGTTCACCGTTTTCGGCCCCTGGGGGCCTTCACCAAGCCCAGGACCTGCAAAAAACGGCCTGGGTTAAAAGACGGTCCGAGGGAAAGGGTTGGGACTTCCGTGGACCCCGTACTGAAAAATTCAAGGCATCGCATGTCCGGGGTAGGGTGTTGCCAGGAGTGGTCCCAGCCAAAGGTGCTCCCAGCCGTTCGCGGCATTTGGGAGCCTCTGCTGCCCTCTGGGCCTCGTGAGGCATGCTCTGGAGGCCATCTGCACCTCTCTGGGGCAGGGCCACTTCTAGCAACACCCGGCGAGAGGCAGAGCCCGAAGCTGGTCGGTCTGTCCCAGAGATCGTCTCCCCCCGTCTGGAGGATCATCCACTACGGAGTGCTCCGGAACGCTCTCAGAGTTCTTCTCCTGCCCCTTCGGGGGGGGGGGCATGCATTCCTGGCGCCAGCCCAGGGCGCTGCACACCTTCCCGGCGCCCTGCTCCAGCCGTCCGACCAGGGCGGAGCTGGGGACAGCCCCAGGCATGCGACGCTTTGACCTTGTCCACACGCGGTCCCCGGAAGTCCCGGCCTTTGCCCCGGGGCCAGATTTTCATCCCGAGTCGTTTTGTGACGGTCCTCCCTTGGTTTTTATAGCAGTCTACTCCTCCTCCTCCTCCTCCTCCTCCTCCTCCTCCTGGGGCCCGGCGAGGACGATGAGCATCGTTTAACCAGGCCATGGGCTTCCAGGCCGACCGGGGCGGCCCCCTGGGCGGCAGGCGCGGTCTCCCCACGTCGGCGGCGCGCAGGGAGGGCGGCGCGAAGGGGGAGCGGCCTCTGCCGAAGGCGGGGGGCCTCTGAGAGGCCCTCCCGCCTTCCGACAAAACCGCCATCATCATCACCACCATCGCCATCATCGACGTCATCATCACCATCAGCATTACCATCATCATGATCAACATCACCATCATCATCCTCATTACCATCACCGTCATCATGATCATCATCAGCAGCAGCAGCATCACCACCATCACTATCATCACCGTCACTAACACCATAATCAACATCATCACCGTCACCATCACCAGCACAATCACCGTCATCACCACCATGACCTTATCATCAACATCATCACCATCATCATTATCGGCATTATCATCATCATCGTCATCACCATGATCTCCATCAGCAGCAGCAGTAGTATCATGATGACCACCACCGTAAGAATCAGTAGCACCATCACCAGCATCATCTTCATTATCAGCATCGTCATCGTCATCGTTGCCATCATCATCCTCAGCAGCATTATCATCATCCATCAGGTTGGCTCAAGGCTGTTGGCTCAAGGCCACTCTGGTTCAAGCGCCACCGCCAAGCGCCCGATCCGAGCCCGGGCCCGAGCGTTCTTTCGACCGATTCGAGCGATTTCGGGCCCGACCGATTCCGGCCGCCATGGCGACGCATCAGCCTCTTGGAGCGACCCCGGGCACAGCTGCTCGTGCCGCCCCGCCCGCCACAGGTCCTGACACGAGCATGGAGGAGTGCGAGTCTGGGCTGACGCAGGCTACTGCCCGACTTACGGTGGTCGACCCGCCGAACGGGCCGCCTGCCCCTGGGCTGCCTCCCCCGGCTGCGCCTGCTACGGCCCCGGGATTCCAGGCAGCTTTCTCGCCTGTCACGGCCGCCGCAGCTGCCGCCGAGCCCGCTGCAGTTCCAGGAGTCGCTGCAGCGCCTCAGCCGCTCTCGGTGCCCCAGCCGTTGCCACATGAGCTCCTCAGTGATCTATTGGAGCAGGAGATTTTGCGTCACTTCGAGATCGCCCGCGCCGCTCAGGCGACAGGGCAGAGCCCGCCACTTTCGGCCGCATCCACGCTGGCGACCTTCGACGACCTTATGGCGGTATTGCGGGGACTCGCCTACGACCCGACCTCGTCTGACTGCTGGCAGGTCTTAGGGCTCAGCCCGCTGGAAGGGCCTGAGCCGACGCTTGGCATGCTCGAGTCGCGAGCCCGCATGGCCCGGCTGCTTTCGTCAGCTGCTGAGGGCCCGCGCTGGTCACAGAGCGACAAGCAGTTGGTCCCCCCCGTCCTGGAGAAGCTCGAGCTGGCCGTCCAGGACTGCGCCAACTCCCTCGCCGGCTGGCGCAGGGAACGACGGAAGCTGAAACCCAGCAGGCTCCCTCTGTGGAAGGAGCTTGGGCCACAAGCCCTCTGCGCGGTGCTCGACACAGCCCTGTCCCCACAGGAACGTGTCGCGACGCAATGGTCCGGGCTGCTCGGCTCAGGCCCCCCACGTCTACGAGAGCAAGCCGATGATCGTGTTCTCCCCTTGGATGGAGCTCGACGTCTTGCCGAATCGGCCGAGAAGGGGGACGACTCGTTCTGGGACCTGCTGCAGAACGTGCCGGTCGTCATCTGGGCCCCTACCGACTCCTCCGCGCTGGGCCGCCTCCGAGAACACATGCTGAAACGTTCCAGCGGCGGTTCACTCCCGCAGCACATCCGTATGATCACTCCGCTGGAGACTTTTCCTCGGTGCCACTCGGTCGACGCCATCCGGGATCTCTGGTGGCATCCCATTTTGGGAGAAAAGTGGGCAGCCCTCCTCCGGCAGGTGGACTTCGTTTCGCACCCCATGGATCTTGGCAAGAATTCAAGGGCCTCGCGATTTTCGCAATATCCACGTATCTCCCAAAGGGCCCTCCCAAGATGCTGATGGTGGAGGAGCCGCTCTTCTCTCTCGGGGCCAAGCCCACGTACGTGGTGGACATCCCTGCCATGGCACTCCCGCTTGTCTACAGCTTCATGTCAGATCCTGGCATGCGGTGTGCGACGATGGGCCGAATCACCCGCAGCCCAGGCCACACTGCCGAGGTTCCACGCATTACCGTGGATATTCGCTTCGACCGGACAATCCCAGCTCTGGAACAGGAGCTCCGCATGCGTCGCCTCCGCAGCGCGGCGCTTCCCCCCGACTCGTTCTACGGCTCACATGCGATGTTCTCGGACCCGGCGGCCCTCCTCGCCGAGCTCGCGCGCCCCAGCGCTGCTTGCAAGGCGTGGCCGTTGGGCAGCGGTCTCATCCTCCTCACCTCTGGGAAGGCACTGGTCCAATCAGAGACAGAAGCGGACGTCTGGCACTCCTTGATGGACGGAACGTTGCAGGAGGACCCTGAGGCGGCCGTGCTGAAGCTCCAATACAAGCCGTCGCGTCACGGAGGACGGCAATTCGCCGTTCCATCCGCCACCCCTCAGCAACTTGCTGCCCTGCGCCGTCGACGCGGCCCGCGGCCCCGTCGAGCAGCCGCCCTCGAGGCCGTGACAGATGTCGATATCCGGGGCTACGCCAGCATCGACGAGGCCGAGGTCTTCCAGCAGCTGATGGCCCACCTCTCCAGCGCGGCGGGCATTTAGCTCACCGAGGCCACCGCTGAGACCATGAAGACCGTATCGTGGCAGTGGCTGGCCAAGACGGATCCCGGGGCTCCCCCGGGACGGGTCCGCTTATGCCTGAAGGACGCGGCCGACGTCCAAAAGGTCCGGGAGGCGTTGCACGGCAAGGCGATTCGGGTTGGCACGGGCCTCGTGGGGATACAGGTCTCCAATGATTTGGCTGATGCGCAGAGTCTGCTCGCGAGCTCGGGAAACGTTGCGGGGGGGGTGGCGCGCTAGCCATCCCCCCTTCCTGGCGATGCGACTCTTGGCTCCCCGCCAGGGGCCTCCTGGGCGGTGTCGCGCTCGGGTAGCATGTCCCTCCTCGTCGATGTCGTCTTGCAGCTCCTGCCCATTCCTATCGGCACGACCTTCACGGCCAACGTCGCTGCGGAGGCTAATTCACAACTTGCCGCTGCCGCCGCCGCCCGCGATGTCCTACGCGATCTTGCACCTCGTCTTCCGCCACTTCTTCTCCAACCTACTGCTCAGGAGCACGTACTTTCTCAGCAGGCCCGGACTGATGTTCCAATATCAGTATTGCGGTCTGCTCGACTCCGTCGCGCCCCCCCAGGTCACGCACAACGCCGGCCTCTACTGCGAACCTGCCGTCGGAGGGCCCCGTGAGGACCGTAACCCCTACCTCGCCCACCTCGACCACCTCGTTGCGGGCCCCGTATACGGGGGACATCTCGCTTGCCACCTGGAACGCGCAAGCCCTCTTTGCGGCGGACGTCGCAACTCACGGTCGCAAGTGGGCCTACCTCTGCCGACTCACCTCCCAGCACGACGTGATCACGATTACAGAGACGCATGACGCGGAGGAGTCGCTCCCATTAGCTCTACCTCCGTCTGGCTGTCGCGGTTGGTGGTCCCACGGCACGTCGCAGTCTGCGGGGGTCGGCATCGTGGTCCGGCAGGAGTTTCTCGATAAGTTCTTTCATTTTGATTGGTTTGTCATATCTCGTGGCAGTGCCGCTCGGCTTCGCTTGAGGGACCCTCACGGCGCGCTGGAACTCGTCGTGGGATATTGCCACACAGGTCACGCACCGCAGTTGCGCCCGGCAGAGGCTCTGGGCGCGGGCGCCGCGCACTGCGCTTCGGTCCGCCGGCAGCGGGCTGACTTACGAAGCTCGATTGCTCAGAGCGTTGGGGACTCCAGGGAGGTTCTACGCGTCATCAGCGGCGACTTCGGAGGAGTGGAAGCGAGTGTGGGTCCCGTCAGACCCCAACTACGATGAGCAGAGGTGCGCGGCCAGGTGGGAGCAGTACGCCTCGGAGGCGCGCGAGCCCTTGCCGAAGACCGCCGACGCCTACGACGAGGAGTGGTACCCCTCTGACGCCGACTTCCGGGTCGCCGCGCGCAAAACCAAAGGCAGCGCGGGCTATGACGTTTGGCGCTCTAGCGACTTCAAGCTGATCTCCGAGCACTTCGAGTTCTGGCTTTTCGAACTCTACACGCTATGGCGGGACACCTGCGAGACCCTCCTGGTCGAGAGGCCCACCACCGAGTTCCAGCACCTCCTCTTCGCCTGGCGGGTTGTTGGGGTGCCAAAGAAAGACCCGACGCAGTCCCGGCCTATAGGGGTGGGCTCCGTGCTCCCCAGGGCCTGGCTCACAGCTTGCGAGCCCAGCCTGCCCACGCCACAGGGCGCTCAGTTCGCCTGCAAAGCGGGCTCCACGGTGGTCCACGCCTGCTGCTTGCGGCTGCACGCCTGCCAGCACGGCTCGTGCGGACTGGAGCGCGACCTGTCCAAGTGCTACGACAACGCGCCGCATGCGGTGGCAGACGCGGCGCTCCGCAACGCCCAGACTCCACGCCGAGTGCGGGCGGTGACTAACGCTGCCTTGCGGGGCCCTCGGAGGTGCCAGGTGGCGGGAGAGTTGGCCGGTGAGACACTCTGGCCTACGCGCAGCCTCGCTCAAGGGGACAGCACGGCGCCGAAGGTCCTGTGCCACGTACTTTCCCCTTGGGAGATCAACGGCACCAAGTTCTTTTTCATGGACGACAGGTCTGCCGTCTTCGACTCCGCCCCGCAGATGGAGTTGGGCGCGCAGGCCACCAACGCCTTCGACTCAGGCACGGGCGCGATCGAGAACGTCGGGAAGCGCCAGGTCTGGAAGCGAGGGGACAGGACGCAGATCGAGCACATCGGCATCCTCGCTGTCCCTGATGCTCCGGATGAGCCGATTACGCCTGCCGGGAGCTGGACCAAGCTCCGCAAGTGCTTGCACGCCATCCGAGGCCTCCCGGGAGGCAGCGAAGCCAGGGCCGCGGCGGTCTGGGCCTACGCTAAACCGTTGTGGACTTGGTGTTCCCCGGTTTTCTCTCTGCCGCCGCCCGACGTCATCCCAGCAGCGATGTCAGCGGTGCTTTCGACGAGGTGCACTTGGTGGTGCCGAGGCCGTTTCTGGGCCTCGAATATCGACCTGCACCCCATCTTCAGCGCGGTGCTCGCGGCCATTGATCGCATCACCACCTGGGACCTCCGCTGGAGTACATTGCTCGATGTGAATGTTACGACGTTTTTCGATGCCATGGGCTTCGAGTTCCTGCAGTACGACCCAGAGCGCGGAGTGCAGTTCCGACGCCCGGTGGACGAGCCTGATGTCCGAGTCCGCCGCTTGTGCGGGCGCAGACACATCTTCTGGAGCGACGAAGAGATGGTGCGCACCTCCTTCGCCAAGTATGCCCGGCGAGAGCTCTTGCCCACGCATCCGCGTCTCGCCACGACTCGGAGGGGGTCGACCAGATCGACCTTGAAGCCTCCTCGGCACGAGCGTGTTCCACTTTCCGGGACTCGCTGACCCTGGAGGACAGGATCCACTTGAAGATCTTTCGCTGCGGAGCGACACACAGCCCGACGAGAAGATGGAGCACCACCAGGCCCGATCTCACGGCGGCCTGCCCGTCTTGCGGGGGTCCCCGTCGACCGAGTGCGCGCCACTACGTGGCCGAGTGCGCCGCCCTGGCGGGTCTCCGGCAGGAGCTGAACGACGCGTGCCACATCCCACTTGGCTGGTGGGCACGCCAGCCGCGGGCGACGCTGAAGACGGGATGGATCACTTTCCCGGCTCACGCGTCCGCCGCCCGCAGAGCGGAGCTCCAGGTGGCCGTCTGCCGCATGGGGCTCGTTGCCATGGCGCAGATGGCAGAAGATTGCGTGGCGTTGAAGAGAGCCTAGGGCATCCGAGCGACTTCGTCCCGATGTTCGACTTTTACGGTTTGTTTTTCGACCTCTTCCTCTCCGTGTTCACGTTCCCCCAGGTTCCCACTTTCGTTCAGTTGTTCCTGATGTACAACTCGCCCGCGGCGACTTCAACTGGGTGGTTGACGCCCGCGACCGCGTCTCCAAGGGCACTGGCCATGCTGCCGGCGCTCGCGATTGTGCGGATGAGGCCCACTGGGGGCGCCCCCCCCCCCGAAATTCCAGGAGATGTTCCAGGGGGCCATGGCCCATGATGCGGCCCTCGCCCGCTCCCGCCTGGACCGCATCTACGCCAACATGGATGGGGGCGAACTGCTGGACAGGCAGATCACGGCTGGGGTCCGGGAGTGGGCGCCTCATCTTTCACACCACCGTGCAATGTTTTTCCAGCGCCGCATGGCCGCAGAGTCGCGGTCGGGCATGCGCCCGATTCCAGCAGACGTCGTCCGTCGCCCTGAGTGGCCTCGTCGAGTCAGCTTGCGATGCCGCGACCTGCTCGACGCGGCCCCTCCTCTCTCGGCAGCGGCTCGCCCCCCGCTGCTGAAGCAGGCGATCCAGGAAGTCAGCTTTGAGATGGCCTCCGGCGGGCGCGCGGTCTCCGCGGACACGGTCGAGGACGGGCTCGGTTGCACCATGTGTTTCATTCGCGCTGTGGAGAGCTCCTCCGTCTCCGCGATCGGCAGGCGCATAACGACGTGCCCCCACCTCGCCGACCTCGTCTCCAACCCGCACTGCCCTTCCGTCCGGGACGGCGGCGCCCTCGCAGCTGCGCGAGAGCACGCCGTCGCTCTGGCGAGGGGCCAGGCCGTCCGAGAGCTCACCGCGCTCCGGGGCGATCCCCCGAACCTCTCGGACGCGGGAGCGACGGTTCGCCGGGCTCGGGATTCCAGACTTCTGAGTCGCCTCGCCCCTGGGCGAGGGAAGTTTCTGACGGCCACTCGGAGCCTGAGGGGAGACGTTCACGCACCTCCAGACGCCATGGCAGCCGATCTCCGCGAGCATTGGGCCAAGGTATTCGAGGCGCGCCCGACGGGCTCTGCACTTCGAGCGAGGTGGCTTGCTGAAGACTTGCCTGCAATATCGAGGTCGCTCCCTCCTTCCTCGTCCTCGAGGTGGATCCCATCGCGTCGGGACGTTCGAGATGCGATTGCCCATTCAGGTTCGTCTACTCCAGGCCCGGACGGGATCCCCAGAGCTGTGTGGAGGGCGCTCGGTCCTCTCGCCGAGCAGGTTCTGCATGGGGCACTCCAGGAGATGTCGCGGCCTGGTGGCCTGACCGTCTTGGAGCGGGACTACGGCTCGTTCAACGAGTCGCTGGTCTTCTTCATCCCCAAGAAGGTGTCTGGCTTCGACGACCGATGGGGGGAGTTTTACGACCCCGAGCACACCCGGCCGATCACGGTCACTAATTTCGACAACCGCATCCTAGCCAGCGCAGTGCGTCGGCGGATCGAGCCAATATTGGCGAAATTGGTTTCTCCACACCAGCGCGGCTTCATCGGCGGACGGTCGATGCTGGCGAACGTGATCGACATCGACCTGGAGATGCAGCGCGCCACGCTCGAGCAGGACGATGGTTTTGCCGTCGCGTTTGATTTCGAGGCGGCTTTCCCGAGCGTGGGCCATAGTTTCATGTTGGACTTGTTTGAGCACCTGGGGCTTCCTGACTGCATCTTGGGATATGTGCGGGCACTCTATTTCCAGAACCACTGCCAAGTGGTCGCTGTAGGGGCACGCCACGACGGATTCGCCATCGCGGCCGGCATCCGACAGGGGTGTCCGCTCTCGCCGTTGCTCTTCGCGGTGGCGGCGGACCTCCTCCTGCGACGTTTACGCCGCCTGTTGCCCACGGCCGCCTTGCGAGCGTATGCGGACGACCTGGCCTTCGTCTCCCGTTCCGGCGTCGGGGGCGCGAGTGTCTCGGAGCGGACCTTCGAGGAGTATGCCCTTGTCTATCTGGGGAAGACCACGATCATCCCGCTCCACCTGGAGCCCCTCGACACCTCCCGGGGCCGGTTGGCGAGGGCAGCGCCGTCCTGGGGGGGGGTCCGCGTCGCGACCTCGGCGGAGTACCTCGGTTTTGTTCTGGGGCCTGGCCGCGGCGCGACCTCTTGGGACAAGCCGCTGGAGAAATATCGACAGCGCGCCGCTGCTTGGGGAAAGGTTGGTTGTGGACTACAGCTAACTTTGCTGGCGTACCGCACGTGCATCTTCTCCGCCGTGCTCTTCGTCGCCCAGCTGGATGCCCCTCCGGCCGAATGGGCCCGCTTCGAGCAGACCGCGGCCTCCAAGCTGTTCCCAGGTCCGCGGCGTTGGGCCACGGTCAACGCCCTGCGGGCCCTACCGCATCTCGGCTTCCAGGGCGGGCTGGTTGACCTCGACGCGTGCGCGCTCGCAGCCAAGCACCGGGTCGCCACCTTCGAGAACAGGCTCCATGGCGATCTCGCGATCCGCACCCGCGCAAGGGAGCTTAGTGCAGTTGCAGCTCGATCGAACCAGTTGGAGCGACAGCACGTCATGGCGTCGTGGTTTGCATCCGCATTCGCTCTTCAATTGGATTCTGCCGTCGATCACTTTACGGAGGCCGGCTTCGGGACCCAGCGGATCCAAGCACGAATCCTAGGGCATCTTGGCCCTCGCGTCCCAGAGGACCTCCTCACTCTGCGGCGCCAGTGGCAGAAGACATGTCGGGCTATAATTGAGCCGTCGACCCGCGCCGCCCTCGAGCTCTTCATGCGGCGGCGGCTGGCGCGGTGCGATATGGGATTGTTCGAACGGGTCCGCGCTGATCGCGCACTCCTGGCGTTGCCGTATTTGAGTTCTTACCTCCCGGCGCGGGCGCGGGCCGCAGTCTTGCGCGCATGGTGGAATGGATGGGTCACGAGCCGCCGTTCTCAAGAGCAGGGTCGATGTATCTTCGGGCGCGCGTGCAAGGACAGCATCGAGCACTACGCCCGGTGCCCGGTCGCCCGCGAGTTCGGCTCCCGCTTCCTGCACCTCGATGCCCCGATCGGCCCTGGAGCAATCGAGGATTTTCTGATCTTGGTGCCACGCTACTCCACGGGAGTTCGCGATCTACTGGTGAGGAAGAGCATCCGCGTCGCGGCCGTGTACATTTTACATTGTCGGCGCAGGCACTCTCCGGGAGGTGCTGGCCCGCTAGCTTGGCAGGCTCTCGCCCACACGGCCGAAGAGATAGTGCGCGGCCATGGCGTTGCGACGGCTTGCGTCGCTCGCGCCTGGGCCCCTATGCAGTAGTTTCTCTCTCCTCCCTTTCTTGTTCTTCCCGCTGCCGCCGCTGCTCTGCTTCAGCTGTCTACGTACTCGGGTTTCAACTTCGATCCGCACAAGGTGGGCCAGTTTGCGCTGTGCCCCGCTTGGTGCCGCGGGGATTTGCCTGTGAGGAATATCGCTGGCCGCTTGGGCCTTGGGGGATATGTTCACACAGCGTGCTGTATCCGCTGTCGCTCCTCCTCCCTCGTTCTCCTCCTCCTCCTCCTTCTCCTCCTCCTCCTCCTCCTCCTCCTCCCCCCCTCCTTTTTGCATAATATTGCGTTGGATTTCTTAGCGTGGCCGTTTGGGTACCTGGTAGGGGCTATAACACAATGTTGGACCACGCCCGGGAGTTCACGCAATGTGTACCCCTCGGCGTCTAATCCTTTCATTTCCCTCCTCCTCCTCCTCCTTCCTCCTCCGCCTCCTCCCTTCTTGTCCTCGTCTTCCTTGCCCACTAGCGGGCCGTAATTCGTTACATTTTCGTTGCGTGCCCCCGTCTGTTCCCCTCGTCGTCCTCCTCGTTTCCTGTTCCTTGTTTCCTAGGGTAGCGCCACTTGTTTCCTCCCTCGTCGTCCTCCTCTCCTCCCTCCTCTGCGCCCCTCGCCTCCTCCTCCCTTTTCAATGTTTTTGCAGGTGGGCCCGAGGCTGTGCTTAGGATCCTTTGTCCGTCCCCTAGCGGGGTGGGGACTGCACTCCCCTTTTTTCCTCTCCCTTTTCCGCTCTTTCCTCCTCGTCCTCCTCGTCCTCCTTGCTTCCCTTGCCCCTCTTCTCTTCTCGCCGGTGTTTATTTACTTTCGGGATGTTGCTGTAATTTAAGCCACTGGTCTCTGCTGCGGGTCGACACGGAGTGCACGGGTTACTCGATTGGTGTTGCGGTCGTCCCTTCCCTCTTGCCCCTCCTTCTTCTCCCCCAAGATTGCGCTGAACAAAAGATCTATCAGCAGCAGCATCATCACCATCGCCATCACCACCACTATGATCATCATCGTCATCGTCCTCGTCCCCGTCCTCGTGTAACTCCTCCTCCTACTCCTCCTCCGTAGCCATTGCGGCTCAAGACGGCATTTTTTGACAGCGGTTCAAGCGAGCCTCGGCATGGTTTGATTTGATTTGCTTGGTTCTCGCATTTGGAGTGCGGTCGCTGTGTCCATGGACGAGGCGTGTGGCCACGTCTCTTCACTGGCTGGCCGCGCGCTGCGTTTATTTTCTTTTGCGACTGGTCGACAGTATTCAGGATTCAACAGAGCTGCATACGAAAATAGGCACAGATTGCCGACTGCGTTGCGGCGTCGGCTTCAGCATATCTCAATATCGCATCAGTTCCTGCGTCACCACACAGACGTATGGGAAGAGGAGTTCATGCAGGAGTTGAGGGTACATATGAGAGTATCGTATACCGGCTTTGCGGGTTCCGCCACGGTCTGTGCGCCGCGATTCTCTGGGCAGCGAGCTCGGGCAGGCGGCCTGGACCAACGGGCTCCGGCATTTCAGCCGCAGGCCCCTCAGCCATTTTCGTATGCATCAGTTTCGGAGTTCTTGCTTTCCACTCTGGTGTCTTACGACTCGCAGTTGGCATCTTATCAGAATTTAGTCAACGACCAGAACAATTCTATCGCGTCGCTCCGAGCCGTCTTGGATAGGGTTGCGGCTTCAGCATCGGGACCTCACCCTTTTTTTTCCTCACCCGTGGCCTCTTCTGCATCGGCTTCGTCATGTGAGGGGTCAACAGAACGTGCCTCCGCGATCGGTCACCGTGCCCCAGCGGATATTTTCCAGATCACAGGAGACGTTCCAGCGGGCGCCGACCCTCACGGGGAGGGTGTGGGATCAGTTTCATCCTCCTCCTCATCTTCTGCTTCAGATTGGACTGTGGCAGAGTTTGCTTATTCTTCAGATTCTGCCAAAGCTGACTTGCCCGCTGGGGCGGAGAGAGTTCTTGGGAATGCAGCCGAAGCGTACATGGACCAACGATTTTTGGAAGTGAGCCAGAAAGCTCGCACATACATCGACGACCAGTTGAAACAATTTCTGGGATCAGGATCGGAGATATGCAGCAGGTTGTTGCAGAAACAATGGGGGAGTCTGTCTCGCATGTTGCTGCGCACGCGCTGGAGACCCAGCTTCCGACGTTGATCTGCAGCGAGGTAGGCCCGTCATTTGAACGGGTTGCAACCGGTGTTGGCGACAAAATGGCGGCGCTTGGAGCTAGGTACAGGGTCCTTTGAAGACATATGGGAGGGAGGATCCGAGAGCTCTACTGGGAGGGATGCGAACCGCGGCCGCTCGCCACATCCTGGGCCTCCTGTGCCGAGAGGAAAGACGGGCGCATCGGCTTCCCCATCGCGACCACTTCTTTCTGGTCTTTTTTGCCGCTATGGCCGCCGCTGCCATCGGGCTGAGTGCGTCTTCGTTCACCCTGAGGGCCGCCTTATCGATGACAACCATATTGGGAACGTTCGACGGGAAGCAAATCGCGACCTTGGGATTCGCAGCGGTCCTCGCCGCAGCAGGGACACGCCCGAGGAAAGGGCACCTGCTGCTTCCTCGCCCGGGCCGGCGGCACAGCCGACTTCGCCAGGCCTCCTGGTGAGGATCGCTCCGTTTGCGAGCCCGATCAGTTGCGGCAGGTTCGAGGACATCGTCGAAGCTGAGGAAGCACAAGAGGCACACGACTACATTATGAGTCACTTTCTCCGCGGACACCCCTTCGAGGATGTACCTCCCGAGCCCGGTATCGATTGAGATGTGCGCAGGAGCTCCTGAGGCTGGCGTGGCGAGCTTTTCCCCATCGGCGTCCACTTCCTGGTCCTCCTGTCCACTTTCCCTGTCCTCGCCGCGCCTTTCATGCTCTGCGCGCGCATGTGTTTGGGGAGTACTATTGTGATCGTATTCAGGGGGCTTCGGCCTTCGTCTTCCGCCCGCTTGCGGGCAGCGGATTTATCGAAATAGGTTGTGGAATCGGTGCTCGCTTTTCGGCCACGCTCCACCTCCTCCTCCTCCTCCCCATCATCATCCCGTAGCCACGTTGGCTCAAGATGGCGCGCCATCGCGAGCGCAGCGTGGATTCCGCTAGTCCGCGGCCAGTTCCAATTGTTTTGCAGCCGCCACCAGGGGCGAGCTGCCGTCCACTCCTGCGTATGATCCCGGCGTTGCAGGCCGCCTTTCACATTGCTGTGCGTCCCGCTCAGAGCATCCAGTCTGTCTCGAGCACTGTGCCGAGCACCCGTATTCCCGCATCGTCTGCAGCGCCGTGCTCCCATGTCGAGCCATCGCGTGCTGCTCCGACCCAGTCAACGAGAGTCAGTCAAGTACGCGGTGGTCCTGCAGTGCACTTGGCCAGTGGCGAATCGTTGAACAGCAACTCGGTGCCCGTTGTCAGTGCAACAACATGTCCGCCGCCTTCTCAGACAGAGACGACCAATCCAACGTCTCCACGCCCCGCAGTCGCCGAGAAGACCACCACCAACGCCGCGAATATTCTCGCCGCGATGAACGCGGCCATGGCGATCACCAGCAGCGACGGGAAGAACCCCGCAGAGATGGCAGACGCGTTGCCCGCGAACTGCTGGAACACCGCGGCAGCGCAGGATTGAGTTGCCAAGGCCCCGCAGGTGCTCGCCAGCATCAAAGCCGCGCAGCAGATCGAGGACCCGTTCGCCGCCCACCGACCCCAGCGCGCAGGTCAGCCAGATCGGGGGGAAGCGCTGCGCCCGAAGCCCCGACCGTGGCCGTGGAAGAGCGTGCGAAGCCACCGCGTGGTCCTGCTTTCTTTATGACGCCCTTCAGGGCGATGCTGACCCATGTGCCAACGCCGCGTTTATCGAGCGGCAGCTGGGGCCCGCAGCCGCCGAACAACTCGTCCGTGATATCGAACTGGCCCCCACCTTTGCTTCCCAACCCGCTGCTGCGCCAGCCGCTCCAGTCACTGGCCACGCTACTCCTGGATCACAACGCGAGCCGCATCATCCACATCAAGAACGACATGAACCGCTACCTGGGATACCCGAAGGCTTCGACGTTGCTCTCGGGGAACTCATGCATCGACAAGTCGCTACTGCTGCCTCGCGCTTTCAAGCACAAGCTGACCAGCTTTTCACTGAATCTCGTGAAAGTGCCCGCCTTCTCGCTCAACGACATGTTACCGCTGCTGAACGCCGAGTGGGCGCGCCCCATAGCGAAGTCGCCCGCGCTCGCAGAGAACAAGACCGCCAGGCTTCTGAGCAGCAGCGCATATGGGAACATATCGACCTGGTGCGCGACGCCTTCGCCATCGCAGAAGCTCAGATGCCGATCGCAGAACTCAATCGTCTTGCCGAATGGGAAAGTCGGCCTGATCCGACGCTCTTCGTCGCGGGTTGTCAGCGCCCCCTGGCTCCGAATGCGGTGATCAGCGACCTCCAGGAATGGATTGCAGGAGCCAACCTCCAGTCTAATCACGTGGAGCTACTCGGAGATGGCGAACCTGCCCGCCGCTTCGCCCTACAAGTCAAAGGAGACAGCGCTGTCGCAGCACCCCGTGCACGGGCTGCCTCGCGCGCAATGCGCAATGCATCTGGCCGATGAAAGGGCCCCACCTCGACCCGTCCAATAGGTCAGTCATTTGATTGACATCTACATCAGCCCCGACAAGTCCCCAAAGCAGACCAGAACAGAAGTCCATGCCAAGAAGCTCCCTCAGCTATTGCAGCGGCGCTACCCTCGTCAGCGGTGGAGAGCTTTCCGCGCCAAAGGATAGATCCATTGCGACTCCATGCGAATTGCCAAAACGGTGCTCCGTGGCCAGGCAGACCCCTTCCATCCTCCAGTGGAACGAGAGGGCCTTCAACAGTCCGCAGTGCCGGTCCACTGACCGGGGCGACATTCTCACTTCCCCCCATGCGATCTTTGCCGACGCAGAGCCAGCTACCTGGCGCGCATGGCCTTCGCCGCGCCCCCCAGCAGATTGACGCCGTCGTGCTCCGCGCCGCGCATCCATATCGCCCCATCGTGCTCCGCGCCGCCCCGGCCCAGAAGAGTCAGTCAAGTACGCAGCGGCCTCGTAATGGACCTGGCCAACGGCGAATCGTCGAACAGCGCCCTCACTCCAATTGCCTGCGCCGCAACATCCTCCGACGGGGGCGGCCTCTCCAGCGGCCCCGCGCCCCTCAGTCGCCACGTGGGCGCCGCCTTCGTCGCGCAGTTTCCTGCCGCGACGAACGACGCCGCGAAGACCGCCGGCGTCGCAGAGAAGAACCCCGCAGAGATGGCCGACGTGCTGCTCGCGAGCCCCTCGAACACAACGACCGCGCGGGATCCGCCAGTCGAGGCCGCGCAGGCGCTCCCCAACCGCTGCGCCGCTCTGCAGGGCGGCGCGCTGCGCGCCCGCCACCGACCCCTTCCCGCAGGACAGCCAGATCGGGGGCATGTGCCGCGCCAATAGCCCACGCCGCGACCGTTGAAGGGCCTCGTGCTGCTCATCCATGCCGCATCGTCGAATTGCATCCTGTCTTCGCATCCATTGTCGCTGCGCTTTGCGCTCACTGGCATCCCGTCTTCGTCGCGATGCATCCCAACATTGCCTGCTACACCGCTTACATCGTCGCGCGCATTCCGAAGGGTGCCCCCATTCACGTCGGGGCGTCCACAGGACCGCAGCTCCAGTACTACCTCCGCGCCCTGAACGACTTCGTCTGCACCTTCCTGCTGAAGGGCGATAACACGCAACGCGCGCTCACCAACTGCAGTGCTCCCGTGTGCGCTCACCCTGTCCCGTTGAAAAAAGACATGGATATCAGAACCATCGCAGGCGCCGCGAATCTCATGGTCAAGAGCGCCGTGACAGAGCGCGAGCACATCACCCAGCAGGGCTTCTCCCAGGGCTGCAACACCCCGAAGCTCATCTGCCGCTACGGCGCCGTGAAGTACTGCGCTCGCTCGCTGCTAGTCGCCAGCGACAACGAGCTCGGCGCCGCCAACGTCGGCTTCTTGGACAACATGAACCTCCTCCATGCCATGCACTTCGGACCAGCAAGCTACATCAAGGTCAACGGCGAGCACTATGACACGTTCGTCATCGGCTCTGGAGTGGGACAGCGCTGCCCTGCATCAGATATGGCCGGGGTGATAGCCATGGGCCCGATCTTCCACCGCCTCGCCACGTTGGGTGAGTTCTCGAACGGCATGCCGAAACTGGACATCGATTTGCAAACCTACCCGTTCGACGCGTTGAGCCAAGTGTCCGCCCTGTCTGCCGCTGCGGAGGTGCATGCGCTCCTCTCAGTGAAGCCGTGGAAATGCCACCTCGCGCCCTTATGGCCTGTCGCGTCCCCGGCCGCCATCGCCCTCCCGAAAGCGCTCCTGGTCGCCCTCGGTCCTCCCTGGGGCTGCTCTTCGGTAGCGGGGCGAGCCAAGTTCATAGGCTCTTTTCTCGGATCCGAGGCCTCATTAGCCCGCCTAAGGCTCGCCCCTAGGCAAACATGGTGGCAGCGGGGTGGTCTGCCTCAGCAGGGGCAGAGTGGCAGCTACGCCAGCGCCCGCTTTTACAATGCCCAGTGTTCCCACCATTGCAAGTGCCAGCGTGCAGTGCCACCGCCTTCTCATGCATCATGCAGCCCAGCTGCAGTTCCTGCGCCAGTCCAACGCTGCCGCCGCCTGCGCCTCTCACAATATGCAGAGCGTGGCAGTAGCTGCGAACCCACTCTACCGAGCCAAGTTCCATTGCATCTATACAGTCAAGCTACGCGATCAGCAGTGCAATTCGCCTGTCATAAGTTTGCTTGCCGAGAGCCTCCATTCGCGGAGCCGTCAAGCGCCCCGGACACAGAGTCCTGGGAAGCGCTGACCGATGCTCTCAAGCAGTTGCGCCCGAGTGGGTTCTGGGCCACATTCAAGACCCTCAGCAGCGAGTGGACTACCTCTGCGAGGGTGCAGATTTCCCAGCAGCACAAGTGCGCCCGTGGATGCACGGACGCGCCTGAATTTCCGCTCCGCCTCCTTTGGCTTCCTGACCTCCCCCTCATCCAACCTTCAATGACGGCAGAGGGGCTGGACGCGGCTGCAGCATACACGACCGGGACAACAGTCTTTTCAAATTTGCTATGATGCAGATCTCCCCCATCCCTCTCAATATTCCTAACATGACATGATGCTGGGGTCATTCGGCGGAGTAGTTTCCGATCCCGGATACGTTAATAACTCTGTTACCCCACAACGGGATCGGAAACTACTCCGCGCCAAACCATATAAGCTATCGAGCGGGATGCGATTGCGCGAGGAGTTGTTACCTAACAGCGAAGACTGATAGGTTTCTAGTGGTCTCAAAAGAGCTCACAGATCACTCCACAGGGGGGTCCGGGCAGGTGTTGGGGAGTTGCCGGGCGGCAGGGTGCCGGGCTCGTTTTTCACCAACAGTCACACACTTCGTGCTCTTCGACTTCCCAGAACTCCATTCCCAGGCCACATTCTGAATACCCGGATGCAACAGTCACACACTTCGTGTTCTTCGAGATCCCAGAACGCCATTCCCGGGCCACATTTAGAATAACCAGATGCAACAGTCACACACTTCGTGCTCTTCGACATCCCAGAACGCCATTCCCGGGCCACATTCTGGAGGGCCGGATGCAACAGTCACACACTTCGTGCTCTTCGAGTTCCCAGAATTCCATTCCCGGGCCACATTTTGGATGCCCGGAGCCAACTGTAGGCCACTTCCTGGTCTTCGAGTTCCCAGAACTACATTCCCGGGCCACATTTTGAATAGCCAGACGCTTCGTAGTCCTTCCGCCACAGCCGTGTTTGGTTCAGGAATTGCTAGTGACACTGCAGTCCACTGCATTCAATCGTGCCACTGCATTCACTCACTGCAGTCCACTCAGTTTCGATTGCAATGGCGTTCCCCTGGCCGTACCCCCATACCCAACGTTCATCCGCAGCCTCTGCTCCGCGAGGCTCGTCCGAAGTGTCGCCGCCTCGCGGTGCTTCTCAGCCTGCGCCGCCTCGCGGTGCTTCTCAGCCTGCG